GGCTAGGGGAAGTTGTTTATCCCGGGTGCCGCGCTAGACTAGGCGCGAGGCCACTCTGGCGTGCCATCCTCCACCTCCTACATGAACGGCGCTCAGTATAGTTGGCGGGTTGGCTCGACATATTCTCTCTCCTTTGAGAGAGCGCAGAGAAAACGAATAGTGGGAGGCGAGCACGCACTTCAGCGCGTCAATGCGTCGCGCATTGTACGTGACTACAGCAGAACATTATAATTCACGCTTTACTTCGGGTGCTCGCTCTGTCTAAACGGCCTAAGTCCAGGAGGCCCATCGCACGGCGAGAAAGCAGAGAACCAGCTGGATCAGCGGACGGTCGTAGCTTGCATTGTGCAATGTGGGACGTACTACAGTACATTCCATTTAACTTAACGCGAAATAATTGCAGCAGTCGCTGCAACTCGTCCACTGATCCGCCTGCGTCTCTGCCTTCTCGGGTGGCGAGAAGGCAGAGACTCAGACCTCTCCTGTTGGGTACCCACGATTTCAGGACACTGTCTGAGCATTCACAGGAGGCTGTTAATCTGAATGCTGAGGTTCGTGGTGTGCAATATTAAAAATACTAGCGAAATTCTTAGTTTCCCTTTGATAATTCTGCTTCGCGATGAATGCAGTGGGAGTCTCCTTCGCGAGTTCTTTTTTATTTTTATGGGTAGACGTGTAAAGTTGCACAGTAGCGACTGTGCTTGTACTCTATCACAGTATTCCAAATTTTTATTGGGTTTCTGTTATTAGACTGCATTCCTGATTGATATCAAATTCACAGCATATTGAACAATACGATCACCATCTTAATCTTTCTGTTTGCCCGATCGTCGAGTTTTACCCATGCTTGCTCATAGTTGTTTTCATGACAAATAATTGTAAAATTGTGATGCTCTGTAGGTCGCTTCATTGATCCTTCAATAGCTTTCGAAGATAAATATGAGTTGTATTGCTTTGTTCGACATCTATCTTCAGAATTTCGCTTGATTTGCACTTTCGAGCAGATTTTTACTGCCATATAGATGTTTTAGCTTTCTTTAAATCCGCCCTCGGATATTTCGGATAGCCTAGAAAAAAAACCATTGAAACTCATTGACGTTTCTATGCGATTGAAATTCGCGACAGAGCGGTTCACTTCGATTAATCTGGTAGGGAAGCTTA